TGGCGCGGGTGGCGGCCGAGCTGGAGCGTCGCGGCCTGGTGGTCACGCTCGAGGATCACGCTGGGGAGGACGAGGGCACCTTCAACGTCCTGGGCTGGGACATCGCCGCCTCGGGGAGGCTGTCCGCCTCGGGGAGACGCCTGTGGCGCGCGCGGCTCGCTGTCAGGTGCCTTCTCAGGCGAGGCCGCTGCTGCGGGGCGGACATCGAGCGCACCCTCGGCCATCTCATCTTCATCGCGCTCGTGCGGCGCGAGGGCCTCGCGCACTTCGAGGCCTGCTTCAGGTTCGCGCAGACCTCGTACCACGTGGAGGCCCCGCTCCCGGGCGGCGTCCGCACCGAGCTCGCAGTGTGGGATGGGCTGGCGCCCCTCCTCTGGCGGGATCTGAAGGCGGGCTGGTCGATGGACGTGGGCGCGGTCGACGCGTCGCCGTGGGGCCTGGGCGCCTGTCAGTCCACCTGGGCTCCAGCGGCAGTCAAGTCCGTCGGGCGGTACTGCGAGCGGTGGCGCTTCGGGCGGGCGGAGAGGCTCCCGCCCCGGCGCCGCGCTCTGGCCGCCAGCCAGCGGGCGCTAGGCCAGGCCATAGCTGCCGAGGTGGGTGACCCCGCCTCCGGCGGCCCTGGGCTCGTTGCCTTCGCGTCGGCTGCCGACGCCCTGCCAGCCGAGCCCGTCGGCCCGCCTTTGGAGCGCGACCTGGCCGAGTTCCCCGAGGTTCCAAAACGTCTCCTCGAGCGCTCGGCCTGGACTGTCACAGGGAGGAGGAAGTGGGACCGTTCAGAACCGATGCCCATTCTTGAAGCCCGAGCGGTTCATTATCACCTTCGTCACGCCCTTCGGAATGCAAACAATCATGGCAAGAAGATCTTGGTGCTAGGAGACTCTCTGACGGCTGTCGCCGCCTCGTCCCGCATGCGAGCTCACTCACACGCAATGCTCCGGGTCATGCAGCGCATCTCTGCCCTGTCCTTGGCTTCTGGGTCGTATCTGTGCGTGAGGTGGGCGCCCGCAGAGTTCAATGTGGCCGACGGGCCCTCGAGGGGCAGGGGATCTCCAACAAAGCCTACAGACATCATTCTTGACAAGCACGACCCCGCTAAGCACGACATCAAAAGCAAGCACGAGTACAACATTATCAGCACAGTCAAGCACGATATTACCGACATGCCCATCATCAGCAAGTGTGGCAAGCACGACATCAGCAAGCACGACAAGCACGACATCAGCAAGCACGACATCAGCAAGCACGACATCAACAGGCACAGCTTCACCGACAAGCACGACATCAGCAAGATAGGCCAGCACGGCAGCAGCACGCATGACACCGACATCAGCACGTTCCTTCCTTCGCATCGCCGTTTTGGTTCATGCTGTCCAGCTTCGAGGCCTTCGCCTGGCGAGAGGGCGCCCCCACTGCCTGTGCAGAGGAAGTGCGACTGGCATGCTGGGGCGGGCTCGCCGCCGGAGTCGGTCGCCGCGGAGCCAGCCTTCGTCGACCTCGGCAGCCTCGCGACCGGGCCCCCCGGTCTGGCCGGGCCGCCGCGCTGCTCGCCAGGCCGCGCCTGCCGCGCGGACCGCGCCGGGCCCTCTGCAGGGCGTGAGGCGCAGGCCGGCGGCGGCGACGCCGCGCCCCCAGACCCCTCGGGAGCGGGCGGCCGAGGTGCGGCCGCCGCCGGGCGTGCAGGTGCTCAACGCCGCCGCGGTGCGCACGGCGAGGGGCATGGAGGCCTACCAGGTGCTGCACACCGCGTTCGCGACTTGGGCCAGGAGCCAGCAGATGGCGCTGTCCTCGGCCGCGGACGTCGACAAGGCAGCGGTGGGCTACCTGCACGTGATGTTCAACGAGGGGAAGCACCTGACCTACGCCAACCGCCTCATCGCGGCCATCGCTTGGATGCGGCCCGAGTTCAGTCGGCACGGCCAGCTCCGCCTCCCGCGGGCGAAGCAGGCTGCTGTGGGCTGGAAGAACCTGGCGCCGCCGAAGAGCCGTCAGGCGCTGCCGATCGAGGTGGTCTTCCTGATCATCAACTGGCTTCTCCTCCAGCGGTCCTACGAGGCTGCGCTGGCGGTGCGGCTGCTGTTCGAGATCTACGGTCGGCCGGGAGAGATTCACAAGCTGCGAGCCGTGGACCTCGTGCCGCCGCTGATGTCGCGGGGCGCGGCCCACCGCTTCTGGAGCCTGACGCTCCACGCAGCCGAGGTGGGCGACGTGTCCAAGACGAACGAGTTCGACAACTCCGTGCGGCTCGACCTGCCTCGTCATCAGCGGTTGGCCGCAAGCCTGGACTGGATGCTGGCGCGCAGGTGGGGCGCGGGCTGGAGGGCGAGCGCCCTCGCCCGAGAGGGCGGGGCCGCAGGCTTGCCCGGCTCGCTCTTCCTCATCTCGCCCGCGGACGTGTCCCAGGAGTTCCGGCGGGCGGTGACCGCCCTCGGCCTCCGCCGCCTCGGCGCCGTGCACCTGTGCCAGCTACGGCACGCCGGGCCGTCTCACGACTCCGCGGCCTCCTGCCGAACGCTGGAAGAGATACGCCGCCGTGGCCGGTGGCGCACCTGGAGCAGCGTGCGCCGCTACGAGAAGGGCAGCCGCCTGACAGAAGTACTGCATCGTCTACCCCTCTGGCTGCAGCGACACGGGGGAGCCTGCGTCGAACACCTGAGCCGACCCGTGTTCGAGGTGCCCTCACCTTTGCCGCAGCCCGTCTGAGCGCGCCCGTCATACTCGAGCTGTTTTCTGGGCATGGCGGCTTCGCCCGTGCCGCAGGAGCCATGGGCTTCTGGGTTCTCGTGTGGGACCTATCTCTTGGGGAACAATACGACTTGACGCGCTCAGAGAATCGTGCCAAGATCAACGCGTGGCTCCGAGCAGGTTTGCTGCTTGGCTGGCACGCGGGCGTTCCTTGCAATACACTCACACGTGCCAGAGGATACGGTATCGCTCCACCAGCTGTCAGATCTGACGAGTACCTTTTCGGACTCCCCGATCTGTCGTTTAAGTTGCAAGCTCAGGTTGATGCCTCCAATTGTCTGATCAAATTCGTCGCTTCGCTTGCCCGGGCCTCTCTGGCCCTCGGTGTGCCGTGGTCCGTCGAGAATCCCAAGACCTCTCGGCTCTGGCTCTTGCCGGACTACAAGCGCCTCCACCGCCGACGTGGTGTTGAGCATGTTGTTACTTCTATGTGCATGTGGGGTACCCGGTGGCGGAAAGACACAGGGCTCCTCCTAGGTTTGCTGGATCCCACGCCATGGCGTGACACCAGATGCCAGGGCTCGAAGCGTGGATGATGTGCTCGCACCGGCCAACGTCATGAGATCCTCAGTGGCAAGAGACCCGACGGGACTTTTGCCACCAGTGCTGCAGCCATCTACCCAGTGCGCTTCTGTAAAGCTCTGGCCAGGTCATTTTATAATGCTCACGTTGCAAAGATTGCTGCCTCTTTCCAGAGGCATCTGTGAGAATTCGGCGCTACCAGCTTGCAAGCATGCCTGCAGATTTGGCATGTAAAGTGTGTGCTCAGTCGACCTCGCCGTGGCGTCTCGCGCCACCCCACGCAGCTCGCCCTCACACCTGACTTCTGGCAAAAACGAGCTCTGATGATATTTGTGCTTGCACGGTTTTCATCTGCGCAATCCGCCGCCATTCGGGGGCTCAAGGCGCACCATCCAGCCATCCCCACCTCCTCCTTCTTCTTTTAACCTTGCTCCTTGGCATGTAAAGTGTGTGCTCAGTCGACCTCGCCGTGGCGTCTCGCGCCACCCCACGCAGCTCGCCCTCACACCTGACTTCTGGCAAAAACGAGCTCTGATGATGATCATCATCATCATCATCATCATCATCATCGTCAACAGCAGCAGCATAATCATCATCGCCACCATCCTCACCATCATCATCATCATCAGCATCATCAGCATCATCATCAACATTATCATCACCGCCACCATCATCATCACCAGCATCCTCATAGTCACAACCATCATCATTACCACCATCAACAACACCATTATCGTCACACTCATCATCAACATCATCAACATCGCCTACGTCATGATCATCAGCAGCAATATCACCATCATCATCACCAGCATCATCAACATCATCAGCATCATCATCACCATCACCAACATCGTTATCAGCAGCAGCACCACCATTATCATCATCATCGTCGTCGCCGTCGTTACCAGCATCACCAATATCAGTATCATCATCATCACCATCATCTGTCCATCATCACCATTATCAGCATCGCCTACGGAATCATCATCATCACCATCATCACCATCATCACCAACATCGTCATCATCATCACCAACATCATCATCATCGTCATCATCATCAGAGTCATCATCATGAACATCATCATCCTCATCAGCATCACCACCACCATCACCACCACCATCATCATACTCATCAGCATTATCATCATCGTCGTCGTCAACATTATCACCATTATCGGCATCCGAGCCATCATCAGCATCATTGGCATTTCCATCATCACCATCATCATCATATTATCATCATCATCAGCCTGATCATGATAATGAGGACCTTCATCATCATCATCACTATCATCATCAGTATCGTCATCGGCAGCATCGTCACCGGCATCATCGTCATCGTCATCATCACCGTCATCATCATCCCCATAATCATCATAATCATCATCAACACCATCATCACCATCAGCACCATGATCATCATCATCACCACAACCATCACAATCATAACCATCATCATCACCATCATCATCATCACCATCATCATCACCATCATCACCATCACCATCACCATACCAGCAGCATCATCATCATTATCATCATCAACATCATCATCATCATTACCATCACCGTCACCATCAATAGTATCACCACCACCACCATCCTCCTCTTCCCCTATCTTCCTTTACCTCGACCCCCCTCCCTGTCTGCCTCCCTTCTCCAACCTGCATCTGCTCCTTGGCCCCCCGTCCCCATCCTCCCTCTGCCCCCCCCCCTCCCGAAGACGCAGAGGAGATCCAGCGCGCGACCGACGAGCTCCTCCGCATCGCCCGCGAAAGGATCCTGAAGAGACTCGAGGCCGCTGTGGCCAGCGACGAGGAGGTCGAGATTCGGGAGGCGATCGCCGAAGCCCGCGAGAAGGGCGTCCAGCCCGAGGATCTGGTCGCGCTTTTCTGGCTGGTCCGCGCGCGATCTGTAGCGCCGCCAACCGCTGGCGGGCAGCTTTGTGGCTGTCGTCGTCATTGTTGTTGTTGTCGTCGCCGTCGTCGTCGTCGTCGTCCGTCGTCGTGGTCGTCGTCGTCGTCGTCGTCGTCGTCGTCGTCCATCGTCGTGGTCGTCGTCGTCGTCGAGGTGGTCGTCGTCGTCGTCGTCGTCGAGGTGGTCGTCGTCGTTCGTCGTCGTCGTCGTTGTCTCCGTCCTTCGTCCCTTCTTCCCTGGCCGGCTGCAGAAGATGGGAGTCCCATTCCCATCAGCTGGGAAGCAGGCAGGTGTTGGACAACTACAGTCGGGCCGAGTTATAAGATCGAGGTCTGTTCGGGGAGGGTACCCTACTGTTCTTCGTGTTTGTATGATGTTCTCGTGCATCCTGGGTAGGGTAGGGTACCCTTGGATGTTCTGTTTGTTTTGGCCGTCGGAGGGTCTCATGTTCTTGAAGGGTGCTCCTCTGGCCTGGGTCCGACTGCAGCTGCACGCGGCTGGGTTCGCCGTCTCCTCTCCAGCGGCCAAGGGGACCTCGAGGCTCTCGGGGATCACGGCTTTCGGGTGGCTCCTGCCCTCTTCGGGCCTGCCCCTGGAGGCTTCTCGTCGCCGCGGCCAGACTCCCTCCGAGGTTCCGGCCAGAGCGCGGACACTGGAGTTCTGCCCCCCGTGCTTTTATTACTCCGGGGGCAGGGGGACGAGGACGACGATAGCGACGACGACGACGACAAAGACGATGGCAACGACTATCGTGACGATGACGCTGACGATGATAATCATGATGGTGATGGTGGTGGTATGGTGACGAACTTGGTCAATGAGGACGGCGATGGCGATGCAGATGTTGGTGGTAGTGCTGCTCATGATGATAAGGATTACTACGATGATCATGATGATGACGATGGTGATGATGACGACGATGATGATGATGATGGTGGTTATGGTGGTGATGATGATTCTGATGATTCTGCATATGATGATGATGGTGATGATGATAGTGATAGAGATGGTGATGGTGATGGTGATGGTGTTGGTGATGATGATTATGATGATGATGATGATGATGATTGTGAGGTGTTGAGGTGGTAAGGATGGTGAGGGTGGTGAGGATGATGAGGATGATTCGGTTGCTGAGGAGTATCATGATGATGACGGTCATGGTGATGATGGTGATGATGGTGGTGATGATGATGATAATGATGGGAGTGATGATGTTGGGGGTGATGAGGATGGTAAAGATTGTGATGCTGCTGTTGCTGTTGCTGATGATGGTGATGATGCTGATGCTGATTATGATCATTATGATGATGATGATATCATTATGATGGTGATGGTGATGATGGTGATCATGATGGTGTTGATGATGGGTGATGATGAGTATGTTTGTGACGATGATGATGATGATCATGCTCATGATGATGATGATGATGATGATGATGATGATGATGATGACGATGACGATGACGATGACGATGATCATGGTGGTGATGATGATGATGATGATGATGTTGATGATGATGATGATGATGATGATGATGATGATGATGATGATGATGATGATGATGATGATGATGATGATGATGATGATGATGATGATGATGATGATGTAAGCAAGCTGCCAATCACAGTGGTTCGGGAAGTGTGACGGAGGCTCTTTCGCCACGCCGCTGCAGTGCGAGCGCGCGCGCACCTGCAGCAGCAAAGAAGCCAGCCGGCGTAGAACCCAGGCCGTGTGCTGAGTGTGATCGCACACGGCCAGCACGCGTAGGCGCATACACAGACTGAAGCGCAGAGAGATACACAGCCTGCGCGACAGCGAGGCTGGTCCAGGAGACCCAGCCTCCGAGATCTGAATGAGCTGCCCGAGGCTTCGAGACGCAAGGCGAACGCTGCACTGCCACGCACCGCTGTCAGGCCGCCGCCCACGTGCCGCTGACCGAGCCCTGGCGACCCGCGTGTGCCGTCCGCTTCGGGCTTCTCGGCATCCTGCAGCTCGGGCTGCGCGATTCTGCGCCGCCTCCCGGCCGGCTGGATGGTCGACGCGACCGCGTGCAGGCGCCAGCGCGTCGTTGTCGTCGTCCGAATCCATCCCAGCTTGCGCGGAGCCGCCGCTGCCGCCACCAGGCCGGCTGGATGGCCGTGCGTGGGCACCTGACGCCTCGACCGCGCCGAGGGGGCTGGCCGCCGCAGTCCGCCGTGCTCGCCCGCTCGCTGCTCCGGTCCGAGCCGCAGCCCGAGCCCGCGTCAAAAGCCTCTGCGCGCACTGTGGGGCCAGTTCGCAGGCACGGCGGCCAGGTGTCGGGCATAGCCAGGACCCCAGGTGAGGGGACCCAGTTAGTGGTGGGGCCCCGAGGCCCTCTACTTGGCCAGAGTCGCTAAGCCAGGTCTGCCGTAGCCGGTGTTTTTCCGGGTGACGGCAGTTCCGGTTAGTGGAACGCGGCGGGGGGGTCGTCCCCCAGTACCTGTCACTAAACCAGGTCCCATCAAACCCAGTTTTGCCAACGCCCGATGTGGGGCCCTCTTGCAGGCATGGTGGCCAGGTGGTAGTCGAACATGATTGTTCCGGGGTTCCTGTGTCAGGAGGGAAAGAAACAACACACAGACACAATTAATCGTCGACTCCGAGGAAAATATGGGAAAATATGGGATGGGGAGGGAGACAAAAACCCATAAAACATGAGAAAATATGGGGAATCCTGGGATTTGTGTGTATTTATTTGTATGCCCCTGGGCCCCCGTCACTGTGAGCGGGATGCGTACTGGCTTGGCGGACTGCGGGGGGAAGGGTGGAGCGCAAGCAGCACAGGCAGCAGCGGGAGCACGAGCGGCTGGAGCCGCAGCCATTTGCCTTGCTGACCAGGGCCTCGAAAGGGCCATATTTTAAGTCGGGCACGTCCCTCTGCAGGAGGAAGATTCAAACATTGTCAACAACTAGTCAGGGGACGATTTTTCTGAGTATGTTTGAATTGTTCTGCATCTGTTTGACAATTATTCATTTTTTCGCCCCAAACCCCCCTGTAGGGGGACCCGCCCGACCTGAGACATACTTCGGTCGGCGGCGCGGGCAGGCAGGGTGCGTCTGCGCCGCACCGCCGTCGCCCACGTCGCGGGTGCCGCCCCCTGCTGAGCGCACCGTCGGCTGCCGCCGCAGCGGGGCGCTGCCAGCGCCGCACCGCAAGGCGGGCGGGAGTCAGCGGGGCCTCCTGCCAGACAGTGAAGCCACGAACCCGCCACGGCCAGTGGAAGTCGCCTGCACCTCGTCCACCTCAGCGGTCCCGAGCAGTCCGTCATGGACGAGCTCACCCAGACCTTCCTCGACCGACGCGGGCAACCAGCGGTGACCCCAGCACATGCGTGGACCCCCAAGCCCCGACGAACGGCAAGCGGCAGAAGCCGCTGCCATGTTTGAGTGCAGCGGCGGCTGCTTGCCGGCAGCCCGTCGCCGCCCGCGAGAGGTTGGCCGAATTCAAGCGGCCTTCCCCCTGCCTCAAACGGGGACAATATTGCGAAGGCCTTACGGCCAGTGCCGCCGACCTTGAAGGGGGACGACCACGACAACGTAGACGTAGACGTAGACCTAGACGTAGACGTAGACCTAGACGTAGACGGCGATGACGACGACGACGACGACGACGACGACGACGACGACGACGACGACGACGAAGACGAAGATGACGACGACGACGACGACGACGACGACGACGACGACGCACGCTGACGCTCTGGAGCCGAAAGCTTCTCCCAGGCAGGGGTGCTCAAGCGGCCCTCCCGCTCCCTCAAGCGGGTTCAGGATTTGCCCCGCAGGAGGTCCGTTCATCTCAGCGGCGAGCCCAGGGGGGAAGTGAAAAGGGGATACAAGGGGCGGGCCTTCTCAGAAGGCTCGGAAGTCCCTTGGCCTGCTGAGAAGTTTTCTAAACCCCCAGAAGATACATAAAACCTATAAGAAGGCGCGAGGGCTTCTGAGAAACCCCGCCGCCTTCTGAGAAGGTCTGCTCCTTCTCATTCCCCCCCTCGCTCGCCGCCGTGTCAGCTCGACGCCGCATCCCAACGTTGTCGTTGTCTCATTCCCCGAGTTTCCTCACGGCCAGCTGGGCGGAGGCGCGACCCTCTCGGCCCCGGCATGGCTCGACCTCCCCCCTCGACAGGGGCAGGAGTGCGGGCGACGGCGCGCGGGCAGCCGCTCCTCCTCCTCCTCCTCTTCCTCCTCCTCCTCCTCCGACGTCCGAGCCAGGGCCAGGGAGAGCGCAGGCAGGTCGAAGGCTGTGCGCATGGTCGTGCAAGGGATGGCCCCCTTCGCCCCAGGCGCGCCCGCGGCTGCTGCTGCAGCTGCCGCCGCCGTCGACGACGACGACGAACCTGTCCCTCCTGGGTAAGTGTCGCTCCTCCTCTTCCTCGCTCCTCCTCCTCCTCCTCCTCCTCCTCCTCCTCCTCCTCCTCCTCCGCCTCCTCCTCCTCCTCCTCCTCCTCATCCTCCGCCTCCGCCTCCGCGTCCTCCTCCTCCTCTCCTCCTCCTCCTCTTCTCCTCCTCCTCCTCCTCGTCCTCCTCGCTCCTCGCTCCTCCTCCTCCTCCTCTCCTCCTCCCCCTCCTCCCCTCCTCCTCCTCCTCCCTCCCCCTCCTCCTGTGTGTGAATCCCCCTACTTTCCTCCTATCTTGCTCATATCCATCGCCCCTTTCGGCTCGGATGCAGGTACTCGTACTCAGAGGGTGAAGAGGACAACTTCCATCATCCTCATCACGTCTACCTACGGACACTTTGGGGGTGGGTTCGGTCCTTCGGTCCCCCTCCCCCTCACACAGGTTATCAGCCTTCTCTGTTCAAAACGCAATCGCTCCAACTTCCGCGCTTCCTGAGCCCCCCACTCAGTCGCGATGGAGGGCGGTGCGCCTCTCGGCCCCGCGCCTCTTCGCGACGGCGTGGCGGACCCCGTGGCGCGCAACTTGGATCAGGAGATTGAAG